GACCAAAGCCTGGATCTACCTCTGTTCCAAATTTCATCCCAAGCCCTTCAGCCGTTTTCATGTGAAGGAGTGACTAACAAACATACAAACTTTCTCATTTACATATAATATCAGTAAGATAGTAGGTACATTTTGTAGTGACAACCTTAATTTATTGATAGTAGGTACTATTATTTTTGCTAACACGAGGCTACAAACGAGACAGTTGAAAATCGACTCTGATTCCAGGTTATATTGAAAAAATATATACATATATAAAACCACCTTACACAAAACCGACTAGACGTACCTACTAAACAATCTTCACACAATTTGCAAAGCAATTTTGAAGCACGCAACGTCCAAACATACTTACGTCAAATCAAATTGTTGGCAAGAACCTCCCCACTTACTAAGTTTACGGCCCGTTTAAATAAATTACTCAGTGCCTTCTTATTTCCCACGTGTTGTGTGATCGGAAAACTTTACTAAGGTATAATTTATTAATTTGTTTTCTACTAACGAGTAGGGTAATGCGAACCGGTGGGCTGCACTAGCTTGCGATGTTTTATGCAGTAATGAGACAGTAAACTAATGTCTTCTTTATTGATCAGTTTGTATTTGTTATATGTTATCTTGTTAACAATGTTTAGCGGTTATAATACGGTATTTTACAACTAATCAAATTCAATACTTCTATCGAAACGTCAAAAACGATATTGTTCTATGAATTTTGTACCAAAAACTCATTTATGACGTCATCATATTTTTGAGTCAAATAGCGCAATTATTTCTGAAAAAAAAAATGCTAGAATAAATCGAAAATTAAGTATATCGTCAAATGTAAGAATGAAATTGTAATTATTTTTGAATATTTAATTGGATTGAAAAATCTAAATAATTTATTTTTGACCCACGAAAATACCCAATTAGGAAGATTGTTGTTGTTGATTGTGTTGGTGAGTTTTTCGAATTAGTATAGAAAGGAAATGGTGGAATAACTGTGAGAGGTGTGATATGAAAGGTATTAGTAATTTGATGACTTTTCATAAGAGGAGAGAAAGTTATGATATATTGTGTCTTTATGATTAGATATCGAGTCTACTAGTTAAGTTGAGGACGTTGATTTCAGTTTGAAAAAGTCTTCTATAGGCAAATAGTTTTTTTCGACGTGCTTACAAAATTAAGACGTGATTATTCAAAATACCAACATACATAACATCACGCCTTTTATCCCCGAAGGCGTAGGCAGAGGTGCACACAGAAGTAACACCCACTTTTCACTATTTATGTTGTGAGTCCCATGTAATAGTGGGTGAGTCAAAATACCAACAATATTAATGTAATTATTTTAAAGTGTTTTAGAAGAAATCACACGAATAATAACTGAAACAGTTTTCTATAACACTATTCAACTAACAATGAAACGCATTAAACCATTATTAATTCTATAAATGAACATATTACCCACATCTTGATATTCAAGCTATCATAACATACCACGACACACGAATTGCAGCAACCCTAAAAATAACGAAAAAGAAAATAAAGAAAAAAAAATTCTGAATATTTTTTTTCAACTTTCGAAAACATATTTTTTTTAATGAATAATTTTTTTGGTTATTTTTTTCAATGGTGTCTTCCTGTTTGGTACCGTGTTATAGTGCTATAGCCCTGGGATTTAGGATCACGTATAGATTGTAGACATCAATAATTCATCTGAACGCAGTCAGACAGGCTTGAAATAACAATGGATCAAAGTTTTACTCGAGCTTTTCTGGTGTAAGGAGAAGAGGAGAGCGATTTTTTGATATTTGCATTTCCTGATTGTGTCCATGCCTGTTTATTATTGTTTAATCAATAAAATACGTTTTCAGCCTTGTATTTTAATGACCGGGATCAGATTTGAGGACCCTTAAATCTTAAAAAAATGATGTAGAATTGAAACACTTACGGAATTTAATACGATATTAAAACGCTTATTGTTATTTTATCTTTATAATTAATTGTATTGACAATGTTAATAGTAAACAATAAATGATTATTTTGCTCTTTTTTAACCAAAAAATCGCTGTAGTGTCTTTACTTGTACCCCGCGTTATCGGGCTTAGCTTTTGCCTGATTGACAGCTATAGCGCCGCCATCATAACTTGACCTACCCCGTTCCTCTCAACTAAACCAACGAACACGCCATAGGGGGAAATACTCCACTACTCAAAGTTCAAATTAAGTTGGTTGTTTGTTAAGCGCATTACATCTATTAAGAACTTCAACGCTTGTATCCCTAATGTAATTCGCACGCATTAGACATTTAAATATAATTCAAGTAACTTATGCAAGTACTAAAACAGCTAATGGGTGGCATTAGGAACACTTGCACAGTGTACATATAATTTAGCTTTGAGTTAAAATTTTAACCGCGTATACCTTGTTTTACATTGTTCCTAGAAGGGTGGCATTCTGACATTCTGATTGCAAGAATACGTCATTACTTGTGGGCTATGGTGGGATGGATTACCCAGTAATCTGTGTGGTAGTCGCACTGGCTGTGTGCGATGTTTTGATTAGTTTGTTGAAGTATTTTGTTGGTTGTGTAGAGAAAGGGAACTAGATCGGTCTTCTATTAAATGATATTCTTACGAAAGGTAGACGAGGGTTGGAGATGCCTGTATATGACACATACTTTATAATAATTATCTTAAAACTTTGTTTCAAGATACAGATATTGCTGAAAGTTAAAAAAAAAAACGAAAAAAAGCCATTAATACTTTTCCTGATCCAGATGGACTGAGCCTCTTGTCTAGCAGTCACATTTGTAATCGTTCCACCAACGAGGCTACTGTTTTGATACTCATTGTCTTGACATACTTTTAATTTCACGCACTAATTTTGTTGTAAAATAAATATTTTTTTATAGTTGTAATAGGGTTCGATAAAATAAAATAAAAACCGCTAATGAATCCATTTCTTTGCTCTTAATTGTATGTCTTGAAATCTACATATTCTGAGAGTCAAATTACAATAATAATTTTACTAGTGATTCACTATTATTGATTCAGGTTTGCACAGGTTCATTTGCGTTCCGCGCGCGCCTCAAAGAGCCATCAGTCCACCACGAATGGGGCCCAATAGGGCTGATGCCGATACGGAGCCGCGGAGGACTTAACGGGTTGCCGGAGCTCCGGCTCGAAGAGCAGGAGTAGGAACGGGGTGGTTTCTAGTCAGTAAGAGTGTGACACTCCCTCCCGCCTCACCCAGAGAAGCAGAGAAGTTATTCAAATGATTTCCCACCTAAAAAAGAGGTTCATTTACAAAATTAAGGTAGATAGTATGTTCCAAAATAAATGTACTAAGGTTAGAAATCTAACCTTCAATTTTGATTTTGTTAATCCTTATACATCATTATTATTCAAAGGGTAAGCCTTATCGTACCCTTTTACGTAAATTAAATGTATTTACTTTCTGTTTGATCCTTTAATAAATTGTTTTGTACCTAATACATTTTAGAAGAAAATGAAAATAATATACTTATGTATATAATATACAATAATTCTTCCCTGTATATTTACAATAAGAGTGGTCGCAAGTGCAACTGCCGGGCAAGGGGTCTTGTGTTCGATTACCGGGTCGGTCAAAAAAGTACTGGGTTCTTTAAAAAATCTTAGTAGTAGCACATAGTTTGGAATTGTGCCCGGTATATGGCAATAGACTCACCCCCTATTACATGGGACTCATAACATAAATAGTGAAAAGTGGGTGTTACATTGTATAGTGCCATAATGTGGACATTATGGCACTATACAATATGGCACCACCCACTGGCAGATGTGGACATCTGCCTACCCCTTCGGGGATAAAAGGCGTGATGTTGTATTATTAGAATAATCCTTCCCCTATACTTATTATACTTTTTGAATAATCTTCTCGTTTGTTGCTCTCGTGAGATATACTCTACGTAATTAATTAAAATGTATTATTGCGTCTTGCTGAAATCTTCGTTCGACCAGATTATGATTAATTTGCTTACAATTCGTATCTACTTCTGCTGGAGTATTTAATGGTTATTCATTATAATTGTTTTTAACAGAAATTTTACAACAAAATTTTGGTTTTCAGTAAATGAATACGTATGTGATCTTTTAGAGCATTTGTGATACTTAAACTATAAATAAAACTACACAAATAATTGCAACTTATCCATTTTTTATTTTATTTCTTTTCTTACTCTTTACTAAACACAATTTACAATAATATAAAACCTAATATTTACATAAATGCCGTAATTACTACAAAAATATTTACATTAATTTAAAAATTAAGACTTACCTAACTATTCCTTTGGAATGCAAACATTTTTGGACGGAACCATATTCTAATACTTACGTTTAAAATATACATTAACTTACAAATTATTTAAACATAAAATACTGTTACATTTTTGTCCTATCTCTCCATGTTGGTCTGCCAACATTGGCCCAATTTTGTGGTTATATTTCTCATTTCAATATATTGGTCCATCTATTGGCTACCAACTTGGTGACAAAGTTTTGCATTTGAACTAAGTATAACAAATTAAACGATGTATCTAACAATTTTTAAATGCATCAAGATAGGAAAAGTTTCTAAAACTACTTAAATATCGGTATATTGCAGTCAGAACAGATAAATAAAAACAATTACATAAGATTTCAATTTATTTTGGCCCTTGAAATGTTACGAACACGGACTAATTCTTTAAACATAGTTAAAAAGAAAATTAACTAAAAATGGCGGGTTACTCACGTGAATATAATGAGAAAAGCTCTACTAGTTTCGGACCACAGAGGGGTTCTTCCTCATGAATCATCATCTTCTGTTATTCACGTAAGCAACTAGCGATTTTTAATTAATTTAGTATGTCTCACGATAGTATTATAAAAAAGAAAATTATGTTATTTTTTCATTTTCATATTATTATATTATTCGAGAATATTTTATAAACAAAATTAATACTGCAATTGTAAGAACACTTATTTTTTTCTATTATGCTGTTGTACTTATTTTAATTAAATTAATTAAAAAATATGATTGTATATTAGGTGACCATAGCTCTTTCGGGAGGCATTGGTACCATGTGGTTGTAGGTAAACCGCTGGCTGTAGTCGGGAATTTTGAGCGTGGTATCTGACCAGGGTGGACTAGGGTTCCATCTGTCCATGCCATCAGTTTCTTCCAGGGTTAGGGGAGGTGGGGCTAACCGCATACGCTTCGGACTTGGGTATTCCATACCTGTTTGAAAAATAATGTAAATGAGTAACTTCATATTTAATGAGAAAATGACTTTTAAGTTATAGAACGACTTTTAATGCGTATGTAATATAATACCTAGTTTTACTTAAGAAAAAAAATATTAAATAAAGAATAACTAGATTATCATTCCTTAATTACGTTGTCTACGTTACGAAATGGAATGAAATTGATTGAAATAGATTGACATATGCTACGGATTAAGATCGACTTTTGATATAAATTTCACTCAATTGATGTCAGAAATGAAATGAATTTGGAATGAGATAGTTTATAGTAGATAAAATCGGTAATAAATCGCAAAAAAAATAATATAACTGAAGAAGTCAAATAAAAATTAACCAAAAATTTTCTAGTGAAAAGTAATAGTGAAAAGTGGGTGTTACATTGTACAGTGGTATAATGTGCATCTCTGACTACCCATTCGAGGATAAAAGGCGTGATGTTATTTATATGTTATGTTACAAAATTTTCTGTCTCTCTGCCCCAGTCATTCAGCTAAAGTATGAGGATGATTTTTTTTTAAAGTTAAAATTAACTACATAGTAATGAGAGATCATTATGTTTCATACAATTATATTGCTTTCACTATTCACAAAAAAATAGGCAAATTAATAAATACCTTCAATGACAGTACTGGAACAGGGCTCCTGTATATGGTAGTTGACCCTGGGATACTGCTCATAATACTCCCTCTTACCGTGGTGTGGGTACATGTACATATTGCTGTTCACTATGATATCTGGTGGTGGATCGTAGTGATGAGGTGATCTGAAAAAGAAATGTATATTTTAGTGTTATGTTTATAAAGGCTATTTTGCCGTAAAGTTAGGATTATTATTAGAATATGTAGGTTTTCGTTTGTTTTAATAGATGCTTCGCTGCATAGTACTTCTTTGTCAATTTGTAATATTGAACACACAGTTTCATACACCGCAAATCATTGGCGATAATATAGAATCTAATAAATAAGTCTAAGTTCCAATCTTTTTACTCATATTTCTTATATTAAAAATTATAGAAAGTAATGTTTTTTTACTCAGAAATTAAACCTGAAATACCTGGTTCAACGAGGTATATCTTACTAAATATACTCAATAAAATAAAGTCGTAGTCTGAGGCGTTAAGATTTACAAACATACAATTATGATCTTCGTTATAATTTCCTTCATAAACATCAACATGAAGTGCGCGTCAAAATCAATACAGAAACTAAATCAAAATAATAAACTAAACCCGACATAAAACCTTTTCAACCTAACCTTCTTGTATTTGGTTTACAACTACAACTTTATTTTTGCCATCCACTAAGCACTAAACACACAAAATTCAACTTTAAATAGTCCTGTAATAGGAGTCGTAAGTGTTAATAGTAGTGGAATTATTTAGTTTGTAATAGTAAGTTTACAATAAATATGGTAATGAAAGGTGTCAAATTACGCAGATGGACAGTCGGACAGACGGGCCGGGTGATGATTTTCTTATTTATATTCCACAAAGCGACATGACGGGCAGGGACTGAATAACCGAAAAATTACGATACCTTTAAATTGCGGTATGTCGTCATACCGTTAAATAACGGTTACCGCTTAATTTCGGTATCGAAATTTAATTTCGGTACCGCTATTTTTGGGTATGAAATGAAAACCGGTATATTTCGGTACCAGTATCCTAACCTGAATAATAAAGGTATGAGAGAGATATTGACCGCGCTAGATCATCTATCCTATTTCATCGCATTGCATTAGTTTGGCTTGTTCTCTGGACACAATCACATGCGGCTCGCGTTATAATATTTTATGGTGTGCTGAGTTGAATTGAGATAACAATTATTAACAATGTCAAATAACGCACGAAAACTTATAATAACAGAAATAAGTAAGTATATATTATAAGTACTTATTACTACTTATGTAATCTGATAATAACATACTTCTAGTTGACACGTAACGAGTACTAAGTACTAGTATCTTACCTACTTGTTGTCGACGCGTACGGCACGCGGCGGCGATGTAACGCCAGTAGACACGCTCACACACAGACGCTGCGTGCGTACTATTTTATTACACTTTTTATGTTATTACACTATAGCTCATTACTATAGTTTATTATAACGTAGTGTGTTATAATATTTTTTTTACCTTATAGGTATATATTTTCACGACATTTTTGTCAAAAATTGGTTAAATGCCTAAAGTTTTTTTATTTCTACCTCGTCGGGCGCGGATTTCCAGAATTCTTGTTTTGATTCAAAGGGTATACTCCCGAGATGGTCCTTTTCATTGAGGTCAGGATCTGATAATAGAAGCCTAGGAAAACCGAGGAGAACTTTCGAAAATTGTAGGGGCGTGTAATATGTGTATTGTTATTCAATTAGGATTTTTAAACTCTACCCCAGGAGGGTACCAGCTCCGCTGGAGAATCCCTCCCTGAGCATGATTGCTCAGGCAGCCCCGTCGTATCTTGGCAAATTCCCAACGGCGACGTGCTCTGCCACACGTCACGTTTTGTCTCCCCGTGAGTAGGCAGAAAGCGGGCTGAGGATTGCCTTTTTGCTACACTGAATGTGTGTGGAGGCGTAGAAGGCAAGATGTTAGAAATATGTGAGATGATGAATACAAGAAAGATTGATTTGTTAGGGATGAGCGAGACGAAAAGAAAGGGTTGTATGACTACCACACATGGCCAATATATTGCTTACTGGTCTGGTGTTGCAAGTTCCCAGAGAGGCAGCCAGGGCGTGGGGGTCATACTATCTGAAAGGATGAATGAATGTGTGAAAGAGTATAAATGTGTGAGTCCCAGGATACTTTAGATCCGCCTTAAAATTGGCTTGACCAAATTATTTGTCGTCTGTGCTTATGCCCCGGACATCTCAAAGCCAATTGGGGTGAGGGAAGTATTCTGGGATAACTTGAGAGATGTTCTTAATGAATGTAAAGAGAATGAAAGAATAATTATGCTTGGAGATTTTAATGGATGGGTTGGAGTGGCACGCGATGGGTACGATAGAGTATTAGGGCGATTTGGAGACGAACGAGTGAACGAGAATGGTGTATGTCTTCTGGATATATGTGTAGAAAAGGAACTTTTTGTGACCAACACAACATTTGGTCACAAGAAGATACATATGTATACATGGCAGAGGCATACAGAAAGAAGTACGATTGATTTTGTGATTGTTGATGAACGCCTGAGGACAAAACTGAAGGATACAAGGGTTTACCGTGGCACGAATGTCGGAAGCGACCACTTCCTAGTAATTACTAGAATAGCTGGACTGGCAATGAAGTGGAGACATCGGCCACGGGTAAGGTTGCTTGGAACCGAGAGAGTGAGAGTTGAACGGTTGAGAGAAGAGGCAGCTAGGGACCAGTACAGGAAACTATTAAATGAAAGGTTTAGGGAGCTAATGAAAGGTTACGAAAGGAATATAGAAGAATTTTGGAAGGAATTTAAGGATGGAGTGATCGCAGTAGCTACTCAAGTATGTGGGGTAAGCAAGAAAAATAACACTGGAAGCAAGAGGAATGAATGGTGGGATGATGAAGTAAAAGAGGTGATAGAGCAAAAGAAGAAAGCATGGCTCGACTTATTAGCCTCAAAGGCAAATAGAAGAGTGCTAGAAAGTATGATAGAAAAGTACATTAGTCTCAAAAAGAGAGCAAAAGCGGTAGTTAACAAGAAGAAAAATGAATGCAAGGAAAAGTTTGAAAGGAATTTTTCGCGGAACTTTCGAGCCAACGCTAAACTATTCTGGCATTTAGTTAGAAAGGCCAGAGGCAAAGTGGGGGACTCGAAAGTAAGTACGATAAGGGATATAAATGAGTGTCATTGAAGAAAGTAAGGATGTTTTAAAGCAGTGGAAGGAATACTTCGAGAATTTATTTGAAAGGAGTGATTTGAAAGAAGAGGAAGTAAACGATGAAAATGAAAGTGCTAATGTGGGAGAAATAAATATGGATGAAATTGTGAGTGCCATTAAGAGTTTGAAAGTAGGTAAAGCAGCGGGATGTGATAGGATAACTACTGAAATGCTAACAGAGGGTGGAGGTGTAATTGCAAGCCTGGTGTATCTAATTTTTAATAAGTATTGGCGGTGCGGTCGTGTCCCTGGAGTCTGGGCCAAGGCCGTAATTGTGCCACTGTATAAAGGAAAAGGATCACAGCAGGAGTGCAAAAATTATCGCGGTATAAGCCTCCTAAGCGTAGTAGGAAAGTTGTATGCCAAGGTATTGATCGAAAGAGTGATGGATGTAACTGAGCGTAAAATCTGGGATGTGCAAGCGGGATTTCGAAAGGGAATGGGATCAAGAAATGTACGGATCAAGTCTTTTCGTTACGGTTCATTTCAGAGAAAGTGTTATCAAAGCACCAAAAGGTATTTTGTGCCTTTATAGACCTAGAAAAGGCTTATGACAGAGTGGTGAGGGATGAATTGTGGTCAACTCTGTCCATGTATGGGGTGGATAGCCACCTGATTCGGGTACTTAAATCCTTATATAAGGACTCGAGTGCCGTTGTCTGAATAAATGGGGACTACACAGAGTGGTTTAAAATTAATCGAGTTGTTAGGCAAGGCTGTGTAGCATCTCTTTGGCTGTTCAACCTATTTATGGACAGCTGTTTGAACGACCTGAAAGTAGGAGAGTCTGGATTAAGGATGAATGACACAGTGATTAAAACATTGTTGTATGCCGACGACCAGTGCTTGTTGCCTCGTCGGCCCAAGAATTACAACAAATGATCACTGCTATGAATGATGCATTTGAAAGGAAAGGTATGAAAGTAAATGTGAACAAGACGAAAGTGTTGGTGATAGAAAGAAATGAGGTGATAACAGAATGTCAGGTAATGATAGGTGATGAAAAAACCCACCGTGGGAGACAGGCGTGAAGTTATGTAAGTATGTATGTACAATTTGAAAAGGGTCTGGAGTCGACCTGATGATGGAGCCGACAGACAGTCAAAGGAACTCCTCAACGGTTTATATTAACTACCTTGTGTTTGGGCTTGATTGATTTGTATTGATGAGAACTTTACACCTAGATGGAGTAGGACTATCATTGAGGGTCTGATGATGAAGAACTGTAATTGTTAAGGGAACTCATCAACGGTTTATAGTAACTACCTTGTGTTTGGGCTTGTATAATTTGTATTATATAATAATTGTAGTTAAAATTCCAAGGTAGGTACCTAATCCTATTCATCTTATGAACATAATATTATATATACCTAGTAAATAATCAAAGTTTAGGTAAGTACCTACCCTAACGAACGATACCCAATGACTGGTTTTATGTAGGTATGTAATATAAGTAAACAAACATTACGATGTTCTTAGGTACACACCTACCTAGGATATCCGAAAGTTTAGATAGGTACGTACCGAATAATAAGATAAATGTTATAGTTAGGTATCTTATAGCTACAAGATAGATAATTATGTACATACCTACCAATTACATTTAGGGTATAGGTTGTATAAGTAGTACCTATATTGCATCTATACTCACTGACCGGTCAAAGTTTACAATGAATGGGTACAATACTTATTTTATTATAGCTAAGCATCCAGTTACTAAATATGTAGAAACATTACTTTCCTTGGAAAATGAAAAAAACGCATGTACTCATTAGTACTTATATCTCAATCCATATACTGCATTTTTACGTTTCCGCCTCATAGTTAATAGTTACACGACTATTATATAGTTATTAGATAGGTACGGTACACACAAATCATACAACGGTAGCGTAGTTTAGTTGCAGCAGTGACACGAATAAACAGGTACACAGGCGCGCGTTTTTCGCTTGCCGCTGCTCCACGCCTCGGAGTGGGGCCCCTCGCACCACACCCCGCACACTCCTAGCTTTACGTCTCGCAACGGTCAAATCTAAGTTTTTCGGTACCGTTATCGCATAAAGGTTAAATACCGGTATAGCTTTAATTTCGGTACACTTATTTTATACCGGTACCGTACCGTTATACCTTAACCGCTTTCAGTCCCTGATGACGGGTACAAATTGTATCCTGACCCGTTTGTTTATTGTGTTAATAGTGCATTTGTTTTAAATTGTAACTAATCTCTTTATTATTTTATTTTGTGAGCATTGGTTCTTGAGCCTAACAAAGTATTAATAGGATTTAATTTTTTGAAACTGTACATAACAATAACTAATTCCTCTTTTTTACATGAGATGCGTAATTATGATTGCTGACCTCTTCCATGTACAACAAGCCCAGCTCGGAAAATTAACTACAGGACCCTTGTCCTAGGGTTAAATTTCTTAGTGAGGATATGAATTGGTTAATATTTTTTAGTATTCTCAGTCTCTGGTTCGATTGGGTTTTTAAAAAATTCTCAGTAGTAGCACGGAGTCTGGAATTGTGTCCGGTATAGGGCAATAGGCTCACCCCCTATTACATGGGACTCGTAACATAAATAGTGAAAAGTGGGTGTTACATTGTACAGTGGTATAATGTGCACCTCTGTCTACCACTTCGGGGCTAAAAGGCGTGATGTTATGTTATGTTATTATGCCAGAGTATAGAAATAGTAGATAGAAGCTAATGAATAATATTTTATGAAAATCTTACCTCTCTTCACTAATAGTGGACTGCGGCGAATGCGTAGAATAATCAACAGGTCCCCTTTCCGAGTACACTCGGTCACATCCATTATATTCATCGACTTTTGGCTGCACATAGGAAGATACGTGGTAACCAGCATACTCCATCTCTTGGCTCTCCACGTAAGGATACTCCTGATATTCTTGGTAACACTGGTCTCTTCTGAAGAACTTTTGACAGCGAGGGTCCAGCATGCCACAGGGCTGGTTCTGGTAACCATAGTATTGGTACAGCCAGGAGTTGGCCAGCATTATAGTTGCTTCTTCTTCACTGTAGGGAGAATGGGAGTTTTGAATGGAGGGTAGCAATATAGATATATTTTATATTATTGGATAAAGAATACAAATTTTTATTTTAATGTCCGTCTGGTAGATTCATTAGACACGTATTTTTTATTTTCTTATAGAAACGAATACTTTCGGCGATATATTGATTTGAAATGTTGCGTGACGTCACTTCTCTGTACATTTTATACGTAGAAATGACGTTTCAGCCCCCACTCCTAAACTTTGATTCGTTATATCTAAGTATTATATTTCATTACCCAACTGACGGACTAATTACATTTTTAATATTTATAGCCTGTCATCATCCCTATTGAAATATAAAAAAAGTGTTCATAAGGGAATGACTGAATGTAATTGTGATTTTAAATAAATTTAAAAATAGAAATGCAAGTTTTCTTTTAATCTGAAAATTAGGTCAAAAAGGCATAGTCCAACTGGACGATGATGACGTCGATTAAATTGATAGGATATGATTCTTACCTTAAAATCTGATTGGTTGCAACAATAAACTGTCTCGGTGTATCCGTTGCGTCTTTCACTTGCAACACCATATGTACCCAAAGGAACTGTCCACTACGTTGCTGTAACTTCACCAGTAATATGCAACATTTGTCTTGTTCCGATTGTGTTACTGTAACAAATCAAGATCTATTAGACTATGATAAAATTTACTTGAGAGTTTCTTGTTCTGCCCTGAGACTTGGTCCGGTGGTAGCTGAAATAAAAGGTTACAAATTGGCTATGAGAAATAAATGATTTACTAACGAACGATATTTAAGAATAGCGTGACGTAGTCCTAAAACTTTGTTTGAGACATCATTCTGTTTGCTTTAAAAATTATTGTATAGAATGGTATGCCTATTAGGCAAAAATGTCACGATGTTGTACCCCAAAACAATCCTATTAACATGACGTCGATTTAAAAAGTTTTTATTAAATACACAAATCAAAAAGCTCATATGACACATATACAGCTTATTTTGGGGGGGGGGGATCATCGAACGCCTTCTCCCGCCTGGGTGAGGCAGAAGGGAGTGTCAGACTCTTACTGACTAAAAACCACACCGTTCCTACTTTTGCACTTCGAGCCGAAGCCCCTGTAACCCTTTAAGTTCTCCGCGGCTCCATATATAACTACAGTAAGGATAAATTTCTTTCGACTGACATTAAACGAATCCATGAATCGATCAGCATGATGTACATAAATACTTATACATGATTTATTGGAACTGTATAGTCAGTAAAATAATGGTTGTATTGTAGTCTGCAGTCAATAATATAAAGTATGAATTAAAATTGATTATTGATTTCCTTTGCCAATCAAAAGTGTCACTGTGTTTAATTGTCCCCGCTGAATTTATTCCGATAGTGTAAACAATGATTAATAAATTAAAGAATTAATTTCATATTTATTGTTCTGATTCATAGAAATGTGAAATAATAATTTGTTAATGTTTTATTTATTAACGTGTAGGCGCCATTTAATGTCTTTGTCTTGAATAAAGTGTGCTCTCGTGCCGCCGCGCCACGCCATTTCCGAGACCCAAAAGTGTGACATTTTTGCAATGACATACATACATACATACATACATAACTTCACGCCTGTCTCCCATAGGGGTAGGCAGAGACTAAGGAACGCCAATTACTACGATTCTTACATACCTCTTTCGCTTCAATAACAGTCATCAATCTTTTCATGCATGCTCGTCGGTTAAGGGTACTTTTAATTTGGCCCTTCTTTAATATATCGCCAATCTGGTCACTATATGTCCGTCTAGGGCGCCCTCTACCGGCGGCCCCATTCATATCCGCTCTGTATACTTCTTTCGTTACTCTACTTTCATCCATCCTTTCTACATGTCCAAACCAGCGTAACTTTCCCTTTTCAATCCTTGTCACTACATCATCTTTCAATCCACACCTTTCTCTAATAACACTATTTTTCACTCGATCACTCAATTTTAGTCCACTCAATTTTAGTTTTGCAATGAATGTAGTTTTGATTATTTTCTATCAATAGGCAATTAAATTATTGTAGGTTACTGATAAAAATGTGTTATTTCGCAATATTTTTATATCTAGCTTCAATTTTTTTGTCTTAAATCGTATTTCAAAATATCTTCTCTCGTTTAATTAGAAAATTAATTATCGAAACAAAGTTTGTCTGTAGTCAAAGTACTCACCTAGTCTATGTTTGCTCTGTGCCTCCCGTAAGCTGTCCCAGTGGATGAGTTGGTACCACGACACGTCTGCTAACTCCGATTTCTTCCAACCTAAGTACCATTCACCGCTGTAACAAAATGAACTCATTAACATCACATTGATAGCATTACGAAGGAAATACAGTATCCTCGTATACATATTACAGCTGTACTAAGAATCATTTGATGGTTTCTAAATTTACCTCTAGGAATTGTTTTCGGAACAAAATCGTTACTAGGAAATAGTTGAAGTAATAATTTTTTTGTGAAGTAAGCCGGTAAAAAGCCGAGCAGACGGATCCCCTGATGGTAAGCAATCGGCGCCGCCCATAGACATCCGGAACATCAGAGGTGTTACAAGTACGTTACCGGCCTTTTGGGGATTAGGAATTTGAGGATTATTGGGGATTTGGGAGATTGGGGAGGGGAGTAATTGGGCCTCCGGTACATTGAATGTCTCAGTACGACAGTTAGACCAGTGCAAATGGAAAGTTCAAAGTCACAATTATGATAATTATGACATAGAACATTTTATTTTCGCCATGGTGTCAGAAAGAGATTCGAAGAATTTTTGGTTACTAAATTTTACGTAACATACTAGTTCCTAGATTGTACTTAGTGTTTCTTAATAGGCTCATTGGAAAAGGTTTGAAGTTCATCTATAGCGGATGGATTTTGTGGTAGCTTTTCTTGTTACCTTAAGGACCAATTCAACAGTGCTTATTAAAAGACCAACAAGGTCTACAAACTTATTACTCCGTCGAAATACCATCCGAGTAACAGAAAACATACATCAAAACCTTAACATTTGACCATCAATACAGAAATTGATTAATAAAAAAACCTTTTGTAATGAAATGTTAATTAAAAAAGTAATTAAACGAGCAATGTTTAATGCTTGTGGTCGATTACAATTTATTGATTTAGCATTAAAATTGTACTTTTGATATTATTTTGCTTGAACTTTGCTATTTCTGTGGGACTATCAATTAATCTTAGTCAGAATGTAGATTACAAGTACCGCTAGCTAAATAAATTGGCTTACTTATTATTCTTGTTACTTATTATTACAAAATGTGAATGTCGATTAGTTTTTACGTTTCTTTCATATAACTTTGCTTTTAATGGAATAAGAGGCAAACGAGCAGACGGATCACCTGATGGTAAGCGATCAGCGCCGCCCATGGACACCCGCAATACCAGAGGAGTCACAGGTGTGTTGCCGGCCTTTTTAAAAGGAATACGCTTTTAAGTATAATAAGCCTTTTTACTAGATCAACTTTTTAAAGGATAATAGGATTTTATGGTTGTTATTTCTAGCCACGTTGGCCGAGTGATCGTAAGTACGACTGCTGGGCAAGTCTCAGGTTCGATTCCCGGGTCAGGCAAAGTACTACTGGGATTTTTAAAAATTCTCAGTAGTAGCACGGCAACAAATTCACCCCTATTTCATATACAAAATAAATAGTGAAAAGTGGGCGTTTTGTACAGTGGCATTAAGTGCCGTAATGTGCACATTTGCCTACCCCTACGGGGATATAAGGCGTAATGTTATGTTATGTTATTTCTAGTCAATAGTAAGTGTATTTGACACTTGATTACTGTAGTTTTCAGGTTTAATTTCAGTTGAATAATATTATAGACGTTATTGTGTACCAAATACAAGTAGAGCTGTAATTAGAAATATTGCGCTGAATTTAGACTACGATAATAAAATACCATCTGTTAACGGGTTAACTTTTGGCATCCCTATCTATTTTTTCTGACCATAACTTATGATAAACTTTGAAACGAAAATAGTTTGTACGCACTTTACACACCCAAGCAATGCCAGAAAAGTCAAAGGCTATCTAAGTAAAGTTTTTACTAAATTTCTAACCTCTTTAAAACTCTTTAAAACCAACCCTCGTTGAGCAAGCGTGGCGATTAATGCTCAAACCATTACCATGAGAGAAGAGCCTTTGGTTAGCAGTGGCCACTTATAAGCTGTTGATGATTTAAACTTAAGAATAGAGTTCGAGAGGAAAAGAGTCGTCGTCCGTATTTAAAACAGACGTAAAAGTACAGCTAAGTACTCAGCTGGACTTTTCAATTGAGAATTTTTTATAAAGCTGTTCTTATATTTTTTGCTATCCTCTACGAGCGGGGTTGAATGTCAGGACGTAATACAGAGTTCAACAGTAGATGCCTTAGAGGTCCGTGATCAAGTCACAGCTCAGTGATTTTCGCTTCACGGCTCTAATTGTTGATACAAGAATGTTTTTAGGCGAAAATTTTGTGGGATTGATGTTTTATTGGAGTATCTATTTTGGGACTGGTAGTGTGTGCTCTTTTAGGTTTTATTGGGGCCTTATGGATATAATGGAAAGTGCAGTATGTTTCAATAACGCTACGATATTTTGCGCCCGTATTACGTGACAATTGAAAATAGTTCGATGGGTTTGCGTTATTATCACTTAATGGTTGAAAACACCTACAAAGGCGTTCATTTGAGGAAAATATAGGATATGTGACCAGCTTTATTGCAAGCTTCTTCGTTTTTACGATTTTTATTTTGTGGGCTTTTAAAGAGTTGAGAAATAAAGAGAGCATTAATTTACTTTAACACTAAACTTACTTGGCATCAATGTGTAGTATCTTCATGTCCATGGCGTGCACGGTGGTGAAGACGTTGGTGGCGCCGTGCACGACGCACTCGCGCGTCTCGGGCATGGCGAGCGGCGTGCACACGGCCAGGAACACCGGCTCGTTGCGGCTGCACAGCGGTAGGTACGACACGTAGTGACCGCGGACAAGGACTACCTAGAAATATGTTGTTGTTAGACTATGTTCATTAGACTTAGATGCTAAAAGTAAAAAGAAACGTTAGGTGAGAACACTAACAAAAGTAAGGGTCATGCCTGTGACACTGTAGAACTAGAAAACACTTCTACATGAGAGAATCGCAGTTCATAAGAACCAGGTTTATCAGAAAGTGCGAAGGCAGAATAGGTGTGGTGTCAAATTGATGTATTGTATTCTGTAATCGCCACATGACTTGCAATTGTATATTTTCGAAATTCTAAGGTTATCGTATGGAATATTCTGATATAGCATCAGAATTTATGGCATCTAAAATTAATTTGTCTTAGGGCTCCAATATTTTTGTATTTTAACAAAGTAATTAATTTGGGTAATCCAAAAATAAAGAAATCGCTTAGCAACAACAATTTGCTTATTCATAACTATTTACCTACTTACACAGTCAACTAGATTGAGTCGGTTTTAGTTGCGAATTGAGAAAATAAATATGAAAATTACAATTTAAATAAATCAACACAGACGTAGGACGATAAGAACGTTGCGTACCTATTTCAAATTGCTTTAGAATTATGTTTGCAAAACAAATTCAAATGTCTTGTCGAAAATAAAATATTCCTAAGAGTTATCTTTATTTGCTAACTTACTTTTATAGTCAAGTATTTGAATGGAAAAGTGATAAAGGGAATTTTTCCTAACGTTGGAACAAAAGGTGAACAATGAACATTATACTCGGTCAACTTCAAAATCGAACAATACTTACTTTTTGGTCGCCAAATCTCATTTGTCTTCTTGCATTTCTCGAAACATTCATTCTACAGAAGAAATGTCTATTCTTTGGTAAATTTTCAGTCTCCCCGTTGCCTCTGTTGAGTTCCATTTGAACTGTTTGGTGGTCTTGTCTGTCTATAATATCATATACACTATCTCCATGTATTAGTAGGTCCTCCTAAAAATCAACATTTAATTAGAAATCTGCCTAAAATGAAAGATTAGGAATAATTATTATTAAAAAAACAAAATACCCGACTGCACACTAAAAAAAGAGTAAAACAAGCCCCACAATAATATTGATCAATCAAATGCTAAAAACTAATTATGTAATACCGTTTAAACAATACCTATATTAAAATACACTACAATATGTGTTCGTAATCGATAGTTAAATAAACAGAAACTTATTTTGAATACAAATTTACTGAATATAATTTATAAATGTTGATGGAATGCATCGCAGGCGGGGACCAACAGAGGCTTATTTATAGTCATTTCGGTTGTGCACCATTTAGCAGAATTTTCGTTGGTGGCGGTCAAGGTGGTCCCCTCCTTCTTTGGCAGTCGGGTAAAAAATCTAGAAAGAGTGTAAGTTACCATTGAATGCCCCAAATACTCCGCCGCGTTTTCCGATATGTACAACAATTTTCCGTTCTGTGTCATCATCATCATAAAACCGTTCATTGCCTGAAAATACATTGTAAAGTTAGTTTATGTCACGGCAAAACATCGTAAAGATACAACTATTTACAAATATACAATACAAACCTTAGAAAATCCAATATTAGGTGTGGGAGTCGGTTGTTCTTGATACTGATAGCTGAAGTCGTGACTTTTGAACACTAAAACGGAAAGAAAGAGGGTATTATGGGTGAAGTAATAACAAAAGTAGATAAGATAGCGAACTAAATGCATTTTAAACGTCTTAATATGCCTTTTCGTGACTGAAGGTGAACTAACAAAAAAGTTGGGGAGACGATGTTTCGAGATCAAGGATAAATGAGACGTGATGAGTTTGCCCAAAGATTTGGAGCCTGAGAATTTACTAGAGGAAATTTTACATGAAAATGAAGAGGACCTCGACTCACGACTTTGCTTGGAAATTAGGGAAGTAACTGTTGAACGTACAGATGAAATGGTTGATGAAGATGTGCTTCATGAACACATTTAAAGTGATGTTAATATAGTATAAAGTAGACATTGTAACAGTAATCCTGTCACTTATTACAACAAACATTTTGACATGAATGAATTCAATAAGTACATATTATCAGCTATTATTTGCATGAATCATAACATTCAAGAGGCTGTCATCGATCTAGTTAATCCACTGACCCACAGACGCTTATATAATGCGATCAGAAATATGCGTGGGTTGGCTGGGAACATTCTCTAGCATGACTAACGTTGAAAGCAGTTGTCTAGCTTTCAGTTTGACTGTCAATGTAATGCTCTTGACAGAGGCCTAATATTGTGGTTTTGAATTTTAAGCAGCTTGATCTAAATTGTTGCATATTTTAGTCAGATTTGAAATAATTAATTTGCTATTGCTATAGACTTCAATTCTGTGGTTAATTCAAAATTTGAAGACGTTCAACGAAGATAAACTAGCAGAGAATTTTAGCAAGTCTTCTCCTAGTTTGTTGACATTTTGGCAACAATAAAGAATATTATTAACATCCTCAAAAATAGATTTCATCTATTAATTGATGTTCGGTTCTTGTCTTAATGATTATATTCTCATTAAATGATATTTATTTTCATATCAGATAAATAAAATAAACATTTACTTTATACTCAATAGAGACGCCGCATTGTTTTATATTTTTTAATAACTTATTGAATGAAACCAATTAGTGTAGTATTCAAATCGACTTATTTTTGCTCGTGAAAGTAACTTATGAATCTGCATTGTGGACACAATACATATAAAAATGACTTTAAGTACAAAATAAAATGAGCTGACTAACTGGCTAAAATGAGATGACTGAGCCTGAATGTTAGGCTCCCGCCTAACATTCGGGACGCTGAGTCTATCGCTATCTTTAAAAAACGAGTGAGAGAACACTACCTTTCCTCCTGATATGTAAATTTTCTTCATTTATATGTATAATTTATAATTTGTATGTATTTATTTATCGACTGCTTAAAATTCAAAACCCTTTAGTTTTAAGTCTATTTCCTATCCCAATTTTCTATTTGTTGCTACACACTGTGTCACTATATTATTATTACTTTTCCTGCTCCAGGTCCACAGGAAGAAATTCCAATAGGAATAGGTGGTACCTTTGTACTTTAATTATATGTATGTGTTGTCCTTTATGTTGTATGTGTGTACATAAATAAATAATAAATAAATAAATAATAAAACAATCAACTAACCTTGTTGGAAATAGTTCATCTTTCTAACATACACACAGACGAGTGCCATGAGTTGCAGCTGTGAGAGCCTCTGTCTGGTAGATGGCGGTAGCGGGAGAAGATCCCGCAGGTTGGAGATCTCTGCATTGATGAGGTCACGACGCATCTTACTGGCGCCCTTTGTTGACTTTGTTGGTTCAAACCTGTGCAGAAGGAGACACAGGGTTAGAATCTTGTATGTGTATGCACCATATGCACATATTCTACAGAATATTGGACAAAAATCTACTATTAACTTCGTTAATGGGTTTTAATGCAATGGTTTGACCAGATCAAAGATCAATGGGGATATATACTTGTACTATTTCATGTATTACTTACTAGAAATGTTTTTTGTCTAATCTTAAACTATACTTTTGCAATCAATCCAATCGTCTCTTGGCTTAAACACCTAAATTAAGAATAATATTATATTCTCGTTCCGTTTTGAGTATAGGCTTAGCCTTTAAACTAGCTATAAGAAAACGTTTATTTTGTGAAATAACAAACATGTTAACTCATCATATTAGCAAGAATTCTCAAGTAAGGAAGCAATAAAACTTAGAATCAAAGGCTCCCTAGTTTTCCTCTTACCTACTAAGAAAGGATTCAAATAGAAAGCATTCTTGGTAGAATGGCTAGGATGTAAGACAATGTGCGGATGCATCGTTCCGGACAGGTGTCTGTACATGTCACACACACATTAACATAACTCTCGCGGTTCCTTGTGTTTATGCGCACGCAAGCTTTTGATTTATTTATCATTTTGTTTCATTCGGTTTTTTGAGGGAAAGTGTTTTTTTTTAGTGTTGACACGTGCATAGGTTTTGATTTATTGAAGACATTTTGTTTGTATATTTGTTTTCTTTCACTCTTTTACAATGAATTGTTAAAATTCAGGATAAACAAATTTAGAAATTGTCGATGACTAAAGTAGTTGATTTTGGTACTCTAGAATTTTGCATGGTAATGGTAATATGTTTACTGTAAAATTACGTCCTTTTTAATCCCGCAAGGGCAAGGCTAAGGGAAACATGTCGATTTTTTGTGTTTAATTGGTTACAGAATTGGTCGTAATAATTTAATTAATTACCCATTACTTGCAAGTAATATAAAGGAGATTTTGGTCCATTTAAATATAAACTTTATTTAATTGAGGAACGGAGATTTATTAATATTTTAGATCTATAAGTATCAATAAAATACGGCTATTACAATTGAGATACTAAAGTAGAGTGGCGGAGCGTATTAAAAGCTTAATGTAATCGTCGCACGCGCAGGATGCATTGATATATTGCCTAGCAAACAGAAGCCGTGCTGTTTTATTCATATTTTTTCTCTTGAAATAAGAATTATTGGGAATCTTTCAAGAATTAAACTATGAGAAAGTTTATCTATTGCTTTACGGTTTTAAGAATATTCGTGTCTATTACTTTGTTTATGGAATTACTTTGTTTCTAAGAACTTTTGAGTTGAGAAAACTGTATAAATATGTCGTTTCAAGTTTGTTCACATAATTGTATATTTATTTATTGAAATAAATAAACACTTAAATAATTGACGGCGTTTTAATTCTATTTTTTCGTTTTCATTTAAAACACAACAAGATTATAAACAGTAAACAAACTGACGCAATCTAAACATCTAATCTAGTAATTTATGTTACAACATAATTGATTCAAACTAAATATATTACGTATTATACAAAAAAATCTTAAGGAAGTGTCTTTCCGTCCGTCCGCGGCATGTTAACATGCGCCAGCGCACCCGACGCGCAGCACCGCACCGCGCATGCGCGGCCCTTTCATCTCACCTGGGAGTCCTTTTTATACCTCATTCTTTTTTTACTCCTCAAAGTGATTAGACCTTTTTTCAATCGTTAAATATGATTGTGGGAAACGACGGCCAGTGTTATTAATTCGATTGAACTCTGAATCGATTGTTTGTTTTCGATGATCGATTGGCGTAATAGCGAATAATTTGTATGATTAATCGATGCGCTTGCGTTCATTTGATTAAAAGTATTTGTCATGTTGTACGGAAATGCAATTCTTTGTAAGTGGGTAATTACCAATACCTATGAATAGGTTTTTGTTTTAAATGAGGATGTGACCTTTTTAAACAAATGGATATATTTATATTAGTTTATCCTTCTCAGATTTTGAAATTAGTCATTTAAGTAGAGTTCAAGGTGCGCGATTTAAATATGGATTTGGTAATATTTTTATGGAATAATATTCTTGAATCCCTGTTCATACTTTTGTGAATGTGTAATGTAAAGCTGTTTTATTTTTGTTAACTCTTTGATCTGTCAGAAAATTAAAATCTACTTTGATTTAAAAAATATAAGTACTTAAATTTCATCAGTAAAATGCATTTTGTTCTAATTTAGCCACAAAAAAGATAACATTTTCTTTAAATTTCGATTAAGACATCAAATCGAATTCCTTTACAGTGTCTTTACACCAAGATGACCTTACCAAACTCTTTCCAGACCCTATTTTTTTAATATATCAAATCAAGAATGTATCTGTAAAATCGTTTACACGTCGGGCCACAAAAAGTGGCATTCCTTACATACTGACTCGCGTAACGACGAGAACACTTCACGCTGAATTCTATAAGTCGACCGTTTAAATTCTTCCGTACATTAGTCGACATCTGCCCTTTTACAAATGGTGTAAACGCTAATCGAATTGAGTGATAGAAAAGTCGATGAACGGTTGACATATTTTGTCGAATGTCAATGTCAGAATCATTATATCTACATTTATTTTGATATCCACTCGATTTTCGTTTATAGGGTTTGGAGAACTTAAGTAAAGGGATCGACTGAAGGTACCCGACCAGTGCGGACACTTGCAATAGTAGGGAAGTTACAAATGCTAGCCTTTAATTGGAACTTAGATTCCACATACTACTATACGTAACTACGCTTGGTGCAAATGTACTGTGATAATTTTGCTCGCCAGTGTAATATTTTTTCTGCAAATATTTTTGCGTCGCGTCGGTGAGAAAATTTCTGTCCTGTTGTGTTCGAACTTTGAACAGAATGGTTACGACATATGTATATATTTATTATTATAAATATAAAATGACGTCAAAATAGCATGTGGATATAAATTAATATAATGAAGTTGAACGTATCCTATTACTTGGTATAAATTGTGGGAGAATGGAGTCGTGGACTTTTGTAATTCTTCGTGACAAACAATAAGAAAAATGAAGATGATTGTTTTATGGCAGGTTAGTACGCATATAAGTATGTGTAAGCACTCCTATGACCATTTTCGCCTATCTATAATATAAGGGTTAAATAATCATATAACTAAGAGTTACTTATCACAACGTAGCGCTTAAACCAACCCCTTACTTGTACTGTTAGGTATCGTACCTATCTTAGCTTTGCGGTTCCCTAAAATTTAGAAGTGAAGTGCAAACGGGCACTTCTGTTCTAGCGAGTGCTGTAAGGGATTAATACATACTTATTGGTCCAACCAATCATGGATTGTTGTTGATGATGATTATAAAGTTTTGACATTATTTGATTTTAGAAGTATTTAAGTTAACATCACGCAATATAAAAACGGCGTTGGATATCAATAAAATGGCCACATTTTCAGGAGTGTATTTTCAAATTTAGTTTTATTTATCTATTGAGTTAAATTAACAGTTACTAAAAACAATACACGATAAAATATAGACTATAATAATATTAAATAAGAATATAACAAACCCCTAAATTGGTTTCAAGCATTTTAATGTCATCTAAAATGTACCTTATTTACTTTATGTATTTTTTCCTGAACATCTATTAATGTTATATCCAAATAAGGAACTTGAGCTTGTTTTTATCAAATTTTCGTCATTGTGTTAAGTTATTTTTGTTTTCCTATACATTTTAACACATTTTTCAAGTAAAGTAATAGAAACGTGTTTTGGACATGAAATTAGAAGGTCGTTGTGTGGTAGAGTAACCTTAAATGGTATTAAATATAATGTTAATATACTTCTGTGGTTCTTAGTTTTTTTCGTACGTTGCGTGGTAGATGATGAGTTAATAGTTTTTTACGAATTCGAAAAACATATATACGGTCGAATTGAGAACTTCCTCCTTTTTCTGAAGTCTGTTAAAAATAGGACAGGATAATCCATTATTGATTTGTTTGTATATGAATTTTGGGTCGGTTCAGGGTTTTTCATTAACATTATAGAGTCTCTCTAGAAGTTAAGTAAAGCAGAGTGCTTTAGCCACTGACAGAAAGCTAGTCCTATATGGTCTGTAAAGACAATCTATCGATGCTTATAGTTGTACCCATCTTGATGTTTATGATGTAGATTAATCTTCAGTCAAAGAAGGTATATTGAACGTATGAAGTTGTCAATAATAACATTTTCAATACATTCCGACACGTGCTTAGAAAATCTCGAAAAATTTTAAGATACGGCGACTATTATAATATACTATGTGTCCAAACGTGGATCACGATCCGCTACGTAATATTTAGTAAGTTTGTATAAATACACAAGGTTACAATATTGTCACATTATACCTGAAATACTCTACGTACAACCGGCAGTATATATCGTACTCGTATGCAAATTAATTGACGCCATAAACACCTTTAACGTGCACGCCTTAATGTCGATAATAGTGTGAAGGTTTTCGGAAGTTTTGTAAAACAATGGTGGGTGAAAAATGGTTAGCACGTATGTAACAGACGAAACTGTGTTGCATTTGTGCTCGTTTATACCTTTTAAGGTGACATTTTAGTTATTTTCTGGCCTGGTGGTCGCAAATGTGACTGATGGGCAAGGAGTGTCGGGTTCGATTCCCGGGTTGGGCAAAGTATTACTAGGTTTTTAATAATAATCTCAGTATTACCATGGAGTCTGGAATTGTGCCCGGTAAAATGCAATAGGCTCACCGGGTATGCATGAGACTAATAACATAAATATTGATAGAGTGTCACATTGTGCAATGGCATTAAGTGCAGTAATGTGCACCTCTGCCTATCCTTTCGAGAATAAAAGGCCTGATGATATTTTATTTAACTTTTTGTAATTAGAGTATTAGTGTGGGCTTAATGCCATGGATATTCAAACTAGCCAATTGTAGTGATTGGCCAATTTGCCTTTAGGTAAGTTTTAGCCAACAGTTTAAAATGTATGCGTTTTATTAAGATTATGTAAGGTACCTGCGCCTAATTTTTCTTACGACTAGGTCTTCATATACTAGCTCCGAAGTAAAAATGTGTTATTAAGTTTACGCGGGTAGGATCGTATTAAAAGGGTTTAGTTATAACATGAATAATATTATCCTGTATTAACTCGTCGAGTACCGGTTTTGTAGACACAATTATAGAACAATAGGTTGCGGTCACCGGTGACCGCTTGGTGTTTGACAGTTTAAGGCGAGCCGTGCAATAAGCATGGAAAAATGAGATAAATATACGAAAATATACTTAATCTTTCTGAATTACATTTTGACAAGATAGGTAATTTTAAGTTTATGTCCGTAGAAAAATTTTAAAAAATATCTAGTACCTACGACATTAAGTTGCGCATGACTATAAGGTAAGGAAAAAGTGCTTCAAATGTGTCTTCTTGCATATAATTTGAATAGTGCAAGGAAAAGTAAAAGAAAAATAAATAAATACAAAAAAATTGGCCATATTATTTATGATTACATGATTAAAAATCTTATAGAAATATTTTTTTAATACTTAGAAGGTTTTAAAAAAAAGTAAATTCTCTCTGAAAATAAATATAGTAAATATAAATAAAAACTTACCTTAGAAACATTTTGATGGTAAAAAAAAATTAAAATCTCCAAATAACAAAACTAATAAACCACTTTTCGACACAATAAAAAAATAATTAATTCATTTTAAATTATTGCAATAATAAATAAAATGAAACACGGCCACACAGCTCGAACGATGAAGTTCTAATGATAACTTAATAAAAACAACCCTTCACACTTTGCCTCACAAAATTAATGTTAATTGTGACAATAAAAATAACCATAAACGGCACGTGTCCGGCATTATTCAACAACCGTTAGTAACACACGATTTTTCATAAAACACAAATAAAAAACTATTATAATTTAAAGCTAATGTCAGCGCGTCAATTTATGCGTGAGCTTTTTATTAGAATGAGATTAAGGCTCGATCCTGAAGCTCCGATACTTCCGTGCGCCGGCGCACCGGGGGAACGACTATAAAAAGCAACTAAGCCTCTCTTTCCCGCGAGCCTTATTTTCTTTTTTACGTCGAAAAAACATGCGCGAGCGCCTTAACGAATCCCTACGCGTGGTGGGGACTGTTCCAATTTCAAATTTTCAAGACACTATACTCTTGTCATTTTGAAAATGTAACTGTTGTGTAATTAAGAAAAAAATACACTTTTGAAGGTTTTTAATTCTGGCCGCGCTCGCTTTGGGTGCGAGTGAGACGGAGGTATGTTTGTGAGGTACGTTTTTCCAGCGTAGCTTGTTGTTCTGCGCGAAAGAAATGGAAAGAGTCGTTCGTTACTTACATAGCTTTAGATTAATGAGTTCGAAAGAGATGTAGGTAATGGTGGGTAATTACTGTTGTTTCGCGTAAACGAGACGAAGCTATAATGATTGGGTGCAGTGACAGTTATTGATATTGTCGTAATAAGAGTCGATTTGTAGCTTGGTGATCTGCCGTTTATGACATAGGTGGGGTGTGTAACTAGATTGGTAATTCTTATGTTAATTACAATTTAATGACAGCGATGGGATTCGCTGTTTTATGGTGGTATATGGTACTTATTTGATTCGCGTAGGTATACACATACCGTCTTAACAAGTGCTTGCTATATTTAGACCGTGTGCGCTATTTACTGTATAAATTCATTAAGGCGCTACTTAGTTTAGTCGAAGGTAATTTTATGTTAGCGTTTATTAATTGGTGTGTTGTTTAGTTTGTTGTTGTGTTGGGTTAATGTAGGACCTAATTAATGTATTAATTATTATGAATGTTAAATTAGACTTTGATGATCGATTGTTGTAGAGGATAGAGGAAAATAATTTTGTTAATTATATAATAGGGCCTGAAAATTATTTTAGTTCTTTAATTTTCTCTTCAGTGCAGTTACATAAACATTTTAGTAAATATGATATTAATCGTTTGATTAAAATAAAGTTTCGACATGAATTGTTTACCAATCTCTAAAATCTCTTTAGACCTTAAAAAATATTGATGAGCTCAAAAAATACCTTTATAAAGATTGTTTCATCCAAAATTCAATATGGATCAACAAACACCATTTAAATGTTCAGTTAACAGCATCTAAATCTTGTTGAATAAAATAAAACTTTGAAGATGAGTGGTCGCCCGCGGGCGGCGTGTTACGCAGAATACAGTCATCTTAAACATCACTTGCTTAATGTGGGAACAGGTGAGTGAAATATTATATCAGATATAAAAGAATAATTTACAAATTGCTTTAACGTGTTAAATGACGAAAATATAACAATGGATGAGGGGTTGATGAACTTTAAAGTTTCAAAACTTGAAGACAGAAAAATGAAAGCAGGAAAGATAGATATTACAGAGATAGAGATATGCTTTTTTTTAAGGGGGGTAAATCATCGAATGACTGCTCCCGCCTGGGTGAGGCGGGAGGGAGTGACAGACTCGTACTGACTAAAAACCACCCCGTTCCTTCTCTTGCACGTCAAGCCGAAGCCCCGGTTACTCGTTAGGTTCTCCGCGACAGATAGAGATATGCTATAGTGGTCAAACGCCGACTCATTTCAATAGTAAATAACGTATTTATCTATAATTCAATTCCTAGGTTGTCCACAAATACAAACAGGTGTTTTAGTATTGTTCTAATATCCGATATAATATCAACCTTCACCAAACTGTTTTAGAAATATGATAAAAACTACACGAAACATCTAACTTGACCAGACTTTCAATTTTATGCTAGATACTAATAACTTAACATTTAAATAAATTCTTTTGCAACTGTAGGCACTATACTTATTACACACAAATTCATCGAATTACTAATTCTAAACGACATGCGGCACCTTCAAACGATTAAAAATTGATATTGAAAGACGCGTGACAATTTTTATAGAGTTCGAGTGCACCTGTTTAGAAACACTCACTGAATTATAAATTATATCGAATATTAATTACTTAAAACGTTACAGACAAACCAAACGAGTTCGATGAATATAGAGATGAAGCCCCAGATACAATCAGTTCAAATAGAACTGTATTTGCTCTGATAATGAAGCCATGAATTCTTCTAAGAATAATTGTACTTCATCTACTTTTACGGTTATTTCAATAGCTATTAATTAGAAGGTGGTCTATAGCTTTAAGCATCAATCAAAAGACAATTGAAAACTGTTCGAAGAAGCCATCAAATTCATACATTATAAATAATAGAGCGGCACATTAGTTAACGTCCGGCGCGTTCGGCGGCCGGGAGTCGAGTGACACAGTGTCATTAGCGCGCGACTCACGCGCAAGTTAAACTGCGCCACGTGCTGCGTCTGCGCCGACAAACGACGCGCGCGCACCCTTCTTACACGTACAGGCTGTTTTGTTGAAAGTGTTTGAGGTGTCTTTTTTATTTCCGAGAATGTGAGGGACCTCGAAAATATTTACTTTTCAAGTAACGCTTCACTAACACTTTAAATAAAAAATTGTAGCATTCCAATAACCAAATATTTTTTAAGTATTTGTAAAAGTTTCTATTAAAATTTTGTTATTATTTTAAAGAAAAACAAAGTTTTACTTAATGATCATAATGATTATGATATTACAACACATACAACAATAATTTATAATAGTGTTAAGTAAATAAACATTATTAAAAAAACCCCAAGTCAAACTATTTTCTAGTTATTATCACAAATTTATTAACATTAAAAAAAAATCATAAACAAATACAAATACAATCCAAAAACCTAATGAGTGACTTTTGAAACACTCTGTAGCTATCAGAATGACGACGTATTTAACAATAACAGCAGGGAGGTCCCTGCAAAGGAGCCGGCATGACCACCGAAATCACGTAGCAAGCCACCCTAATGTAAACAATAGACAAAGAGACCGACTCTGTTATTAGGATACATGATTACTATCATAGTTATAGTACAGTTGGTGATGTTTCTCAGAGGGGTTAGGGAAAGTAAGCCTCTTTAAAGGATTTCTTCTCTTCTTCAAGTGCTAGCTTCAAGTGTGGGAGAGCCATGCTTCGGCACGAATGGGCCGACTCGACCAGAGTAATAACACGACTGAAAACCAACGTAGGTAAACCATCACATGCGCTATGTTTCCTCGTGCAAGTGAGGTTACCCGAGGTCCAATTAGCTCTCTCTCCAATATTCTCAATCCCCAAATCCTTAACAATCCTCAATTTTCTAATCCCCAAAAAGCCGGGCTGCGCCGATTGCTTACCATTAGGTGTTCCGTCTGCTCGTTTACCGGCCTATCCTACAAAAAAGGTGGTATTGTGGTAATGGGCTCATCTTCTATTACTCAGTCACAACGTAGGTAACTGGTCAGACGAAGGTATTTTATTGTGTTTTCTTTTTTTTTGGGGGGGGGGGGGTCATAGAACGTCTTCGCCTGCTTCTGTGAGTCGGGAGGGACTTTTATTGTGTATGTGGTTACTTTTTTGGAGATTAAAAAGGAAAGGCATTATGTAGCTAGCTATTTATATTTATCCACAGTTTGCATTTATCGTCTATTACGTTCAGGTTTAAATTATACCATCATATTTGCGCCAAAAACTTACAGGAGTTTTAAAAGTCCATTGCAGCATTAAATAATCATAATCGTTTTAGTTATAAATGCACTGAAATATTATTCAACTGCAGAGTAAATAATTAATTTTGCATTACTTTCATTTCGTAGGCACCTTAAAATACCATAATCGACTTTAATAGCAATGTCATATTACCAAAATCATTTAATTAAATTTCATTAATTCCTTCTAAAACATAATTTATTTCACCATTTGCCTTTACTCTGACTGTACCTGTGTCCGTTTTACTAAGAATCTTTGTCTGTGGGGTGGTGCTCCGATTTTGTCAGCTCTTTTTCACTAAAGAGGTCGTTAAGATGCCATCGCATTGGGAGATTAGGTTTTAGAACGTATTGTTTTATTTTTGTTGCCAAAGTCGTTGTTGTTGTGGTACTTTTTGGAATCTTATCATTATTTTGTACATCGATTTCGATTAATAATATATTTAAAAAATACTTGGCTGTCGTAAATGAAAAATGTTTACTTATGTAACATAACATAACATTACACGTGCACATTACGGCACTTAATGCCACTGTACAATGTAACACCCACTTTTCACTATTTATGTTACGAGTCCCATGCATGGAGTGAGCCTATTGCCATACACCGGGTACAATTCCAGACTCCGTGCTACTGCTGAGATTATTTTTAAAAACCCAGTAATACTTTGTCCGACCCAAGCATCGAACCAGAGACCCCTTTTCCGGTAGTTGGGGACCATTAGTGAAATCGTACGCAATATTAGTATACTCACACGATACATTTCTGCCGAACCCACCAAAGATTTCATAGTTATATAACGCATTCTACATTTCACCATCAACGCTTATCATGAAACTAATTAATCAATGTAAATTGATTATCAGTACAACTCCTAAACTTGATTAACCTTCATTAAATATGAGTTGCGGTAAAATTTTAATTAAAATTGTAGCAAACCTGACATTAGGAAACCAAAGAAGCTTATAATAAGTAACCGTAAAGAAGAACTATTAATAATCACAGGTTTATTAAGCTAACTTTATTGT